CTTTATATGCCATTGTGCTGCTGTCTCTCCCGGCTTCTGTGTTTGGACCGCAGACAGGATAGCTCTGACGAGCTGTGTTGTATTTCTTTCTGGAGTGAATGTACTGGAAGTTGTTTGAGATTTGTCGAGCTTGCAATGGAAAGCGTTTTCACATGTGCATGTGTGAATGCGCCGAAGTGTCTAATGTTCCATATCAAACTTTGTACATCAACGGGTTAACGGGAGTCTATTTGCTATAAAAGAAAATGGCTGCTTATCACTCAGTGCATGAAACTACAACCCTTACATTGTAACAACATCTTACCATCTCCTTTGGTTGTGTCTTCTGCTCTGTAATATGTTCTGATTTGTTCATGCTTTAGGAGTTACAGATCAACCTGAATCCACTACTCCAATCACCACTCCAATCACAACTCCAACCACAATTCCAACCACCACTCGAACCACAACTCCAACCACCACTCCAACCACAATTCCAACCACCACTCGAACCTCCACTCGAACCCCAAATATAACCACAACTCCAACCACAATTCCAACCACCGCTCGAACCACAACTCCAACCACAACTCGGACCACAAATAAAACCACAACTCCAACCACAATTCCAACCACACAAAGCACAACTCCAATCACAATTCGAACCACAAATCTGACCACAACTCCAACAACCACTCAAACCACAAATAGAACCACAACTCCAACCACAGATCAAACCACAATTCCTACCACCACTCGAACCACAAATCTAACCACAACTCCAACCACAATTCCAACCACCGCTCAAACCACATCTCCAACAACCACTCGCACCACAAATCTTACCACAACTCCAACCACAATTCCAACCACCACTCGAACCACAACTCCAACCACCACTCCCACCACAATTCCAACCACCACTCGAACCTCCACTCGAACCCCGAATATAACCACAACTCCAACCACAATTCCAACCACCGCTCGAACCACAACTCCAACCACAACTCGGACCACAAATATAACCACAACTCCAACCACAATTCCAACCACACAAAGCACAACTCCAATCACCACTCAAAGCACAAATATAACCACAACCCCAATCACCACTCAAAGCACAAATCTGACCACAATTCCAACCACAATTCCCATCACCACTCGAACCACAACTCCAACAACAAATAAAACCACAACTCCAACCACAATTCCAACCACCGCTCAACCCACAACTCCAACCACCACTCGAACCACAAATAAAACCACAACTCCAACCACCGCTCAACCCACAACTCCAACCACCACTCGAACCACAAATAAAACCACAACTCCAACCACAATTCCAACCACCGCTCAAACCACAACTCCAACCACCACTCCAAACGCCTCAGCCACGAGTGTTCATATTCCTATTACAAGCCACCAGGCTGCTGAATTTGTTTGTGAGTTATAAACTTGTGCTCATGTATTTGCTTCAAATTCCTTGAGTGCAGCTTCTGCTTGTCAGAAATTCCTGTCTGTTCATAGCGGATTAGTTTGTTTGTATGTCCACATGCCTGTCACCTATCCCTTGATCAGCACACCCACCCTATCCTTTGATCAGCACATCCACCATATCCCTTGATCAGCACACCTACACTATCCTTTGATCAGCACATCCACCATATCCCTTGATCAGCACACCTACACTATCCCTTGATCAGCACACCCACGCTATCCCTTGCACACACACACACCCTATCCCTTGATCAACACACCCACCCTATCCCTTGATCAATACACCCACCCTATCCCTTGATCAACACACCCACCCTATCCCTTGATCAACACACCCACCCTATCCCTTGATCAACACACCCACCCTATCCCTTGATCAACACACCCACCCTATCTCTTGATCAACACACCCACCCTATCCCTTGATCAGCACACCCACCCTATCCCTTGATCAGCACACCCACCCTATCCCTTGATCAGCACACCAACCCTATCCCTTGATCAGCACACCTACCCTATCCCTTGATCAGCTCACCCACCCTATCCCTTGATCAGCACACCCACCCTATCCCTGGATCAGCACACCAACCCTATCCCTTGATCAGCACACCCACCCTATCCCTTGATCAGCACACCCACCCTATCCCTTGATCAGCACACCCACCCTATCCCTGGATCAGCACACCTACCCTATCCCTTGATCAGCTCACCCACCCTATCCCTTGATCAGCACACCCACCCTATCCCTTGATCAGCACACCAACCCTATCCCTTGATCAACACACCCACCCTATCCCTTGATCAGCACACCCACCCTATCCCTGGATCAGCACACCCACCCTATCCCTTGATCAACACACCTACCCTATCCCTTGATCAGCACACCCACCCTATCCCTTGATCAGCACACCCACCCTATCCCTTGATCAGCACACCCACCATATCCCTTGATCAGCACACCCACCCTATCCCTTGATCAGCACACCCACCCTATCCCTTGATCAACACACCTACCCTATCCCTTGATCAGCTCACCCACCCTATTCCTTGATTGGCACAGTCCCTTGATCCGGTGGCGAGAAACATTGAAATAAAAACGTGTGGCCTTATAGAGTTTCCACTCAGGGGTTTGTTGGATGCCCTCTGTGCTGGGATAAGTGGCGTTTGGATGGGACATTAGACTGTATCCGGCCAACTGGATATGTGTGTATGTGTGTGTGTGTGTGTGTGTGTGTGTGTGTGTGTGTGTGTGTGTGTGTATGCGTGTGTGTGCGTAGGGATAGGGATTGACTGGCCAGAAAAAGTCACTTCAAATAGCTGTATGGTGTAGACCAGGCTGAATAGTGATGGTCAATTCTTCAGCCTTGCAAGCTGTTGAATGGTGCAATCCCAGCACAAGTTGCTATGGCTTCTGCCGTAGCATTGCTATCATCGCCTCCGGCGATGGGCGTCAAAGGTCAAGGTGTGCGTGTGTATATGTGTATGTGTGTGTCTCATTCTCCTAGCTCTTCTTTCATTCTCCTGGGTGGTTACCAACAGCCAGTGCATGCCGGTGTATATGGTGTGGTGTGCGCAAAAAATGAAGAAAGAATAATGTACAAAATGAAAAAAATGAAAACATGAAAGCGAACTCGGATGGTGAGCCAATTGAATTAAGGTGAAAAAAAGGAGAAGGACAAAATGTTACAAGTTATGACTAACTGTCTGCCAACGTAACCAGATCATAATGTAGTCAGCGAGTGCAACAAAATGGAACAAAACTGACAGGGAGTACTGAGACATTCGACGACCTGACACCTAGCTCCAACACTTCTCCGAGGCGCAAACCCACAACCTTTCAACTTGGAAAACCTGAGCCTTCCAAGTTGAGATTGTTGGTTTGCACCTCGGAGAAGTGTCGGAGCTAGGTGTTAGGTCGTCGAATGTCTTAGTACTGTGCTGTATACCAGGCTCAAATTAGTGGCGGTCAATTCATCAGCCTTGCAAGCTGTTGGATGCATGATGCAATTCCAGCACAATTTGCTATGTCTAACATAGCTGTCCGCTATCGTCGCTTTCGCGATGGGCAGGTCTGAGGTGTGTGTGTGTGTGTGTGTGTTTGCAGAAGCACGGGATTAGGGAAATGACCATTGAGTCACGTTAATAGTGCACTCCATAATCCTGTGCAATCGGGCATGTGTCACTCTGTTTGCCAAATACATGTAGAGAGGGGAAAAAACCAAGATGCTGCGCACAGTGCATGCTGTAAACATAGTTCAATTGATCAAGAATTTTATTTTCCTTCCAGCAGTTGGCTTAGATGATTAAGTTAATTTCAACGTCTGGTTCCGAAATCTTCTAAAGATCTGCCAAATGGTACTTGTCACTAAGTCTGGTTCCGAAATCTTCTGAAGATCTGCCAAATGGTACTTGTCACTAAGTCTGGTTCCGAAATCTTCTGAAGATCTGCCAAATGGTGCTTGTCACTAGACAATGAGGATAGTGCTGCTCTGATACTGAAAAACAGGTTCTTCTGATCTTCATAAGAGCTGTGAGATGTCACGTGATCAAATGGCTCACTGTTCTCACGTGTATATGTGTGTGTGTGTGTGTGTGTGTGTGTGTGTGTGTGTGTGTGTGTGTTGTATGTGTGTGTGTGCGTGTGTGTGTGTGTGTGTGTGTGTGCGCGCGCACGCGCGTGTGTGTATGCATGTGTGTGTGTGTGTGTGTGTGTGTGTGTGTGTGTGTGTGTGTGCGCGCGCATGCATGTGCATGAACATGTGGATTTGTCTGCGTACATGCATTTGTTTCCTCTATGATGAACATTGTGCCCTCAGTTGCCTTGGGTAACGATCAGCCAGTGTCAGTGTCAACTTCTATCGGCATTGGAGGAGGTGTGTTTGCAGGCGTCGTGCTCGTCCTTGTCCTCTTAGTTGTGTATTCGGGCAAAAGAGCTGGAAGCCTGCC